CTCTGCATCGCGAATGAGCTGACAGTGATACAGCTGATTATTCAGTGATTCCAACTCAGTTGCAGTGCCAGCGACCCCATAATTTGAGAAATGGGTAGTCTACCTTCATAACCCCTCAGCATCTCCATAATTCTCACCAGCGTTTAGAGTCCCTTCCCTAACATTTATTACTCTCTGGCTATGTACACACCTAGGTATGTTCAGATGTTCAGTCAAACTAACAGGAAATCTTCCGCGATGTAACACACTACTGATATGTGTGCACTAAGTAAGCAGGGTTTGACGTCTGTCAGCTGATTGTGATTTCAACAAGCTTCATGTGACAAACGTAGCTGACCAGTTGCAAGAATGTTGGATGGCCAAAACATGTGGTACATTTAAAAGTCCGGTCGACCAAGTATCACTCGTTAAGTCAGGGGTGGACAACAAACAGAGCCAATGCAGCACGCGTTCAGAGAGTGATTTGCTGCTACCGGCGATAGTTAAGGTCAGTCGCATCACAGGCTGTAGGTAAAGAAGTGTGTTATCACAACTGAAAATTGATTTCACTACTGAAGGTAGTCCTATCATCCTATCATCATCAAAATCCTCTGTGGAGCTTGGCCACGAATAGTTCAGTTCATCAACTTGGTTGAAATAGCTCATCCCTCCTCGATCATTCCTAATCGAGTTGAACTTGTGTTTTTGCAGGAAGTGGCGCACCATATGGAAGAATCTTACGGATTGTTGGGCAGCCTCTTTAGGAACGGTATGTTTACAGACAATGAGATCCTAAAACTTGAAGTTTCATTTTCCGTGGTTCTCTTTGTCAGGTTCGCTTCCATGCGAAAACTCGCAGAATTTTGCGCTGATCGGAAAACACAAGACCTTAGCGACCACCATTGACTAGTAGTATATCCGATACATTTTGAAGCTACCGAGACAATTTTATTTTGATGAACGGTGCTGGGATTAATCACCGATGTGCACTTGTGTGGGACGAATCTTGGCAACGTGGTACACAATTGAACGTTACTTGTTTACGAGAATGCAGTTATGGGTTGCAATCAGCGTGCGTCCTTCATCTGTCGTTCAGTTTGAGATTAATTGATACTGAGTTAACATCTGTTGTTTGAGGGCGATACGCCAAGAAGCAGCATATACGTTTGATCAGTTTCATTTCCCTTTTTGGCTTAGTGGGTGGAAAATGAATAAATAACTAAACGATTTGCGTATAACCATCGGGTAAAAATGTAAAGCCTTGCATGCATCATATCTGATGATAAGCATCTCACTCCATATGTGTGGCAGCGTTTGTCTGGTCGAATTCCTGTAACAGTCCTTTACTTCTTGATCTTTTAGCGCGGGAAAAAAAACTATTCGGTCCACCCCGTAAGGTCGTCGTCCGACATTGGTAGCATGGCTAACCAGCTGATCTCGTTCGAATCGAGTGCAGTTATGCACTGGCCAGTCCAGCTACCTCAACTAGTACCCGTAGAGCCTTGTAAGTAGATTATTGAATTCTGGAAGTTTCCATAGGCCACCAGGGACTGTGTAATATACGGCAGTCAGAGTCTAATAGCTTATTGATCGGATTGACCTTTTATTGTCTTATCCAATATCGAAGGACCCTGAGTCTTCATCACACTGATTTGATAAATATTCCACCGGTCGTCTTTTAACATCGTGCTTTGGGAAAAAACGTGAAAGAATCGCCGTTCCGTTGCAGTACTATTGCAGTAGAATGACATCATAGCAAAAACCAGTCTCCTGTGTTTGAATCCCGTTGAGTGAAGAGACTTTCGTGACTTCCTAAGTTTCTTTTGGGCTTTTAGAGCTCATATTAACTAAATTATTGTGTATTTTTCAGATGTTTAGTATCCAGAAACCAGGGAAAACAACGCGGTTTTCTATCTTCACGTTTCAGCGAGTAATAAGTTTAACGATTATTGGTCGTCTTAAACCCCAAAACTTGTCATTGGTTGAAAACCAATGACAAACTGGTGTGGCAACTTTGCGTTGTCTATATATTGTACGTGTTCAGCACTAAGCTTTACTCCGTTTTCTGTGGTAGTGTGGCAGGATTTCTTAATCTTCAGTAGACATATCGTCCTATCAGTGAAGCCATTCTATGCTGAAAAGCCGAGAAGGCATTTCATCCTTATTCGGAATCGTCAATAGTGACCATCTCGTGAAACTCAGAAAGCTTCCAACCCTCGAGATTCCGGCCAACGGTCGAATTTTCTGCCTGTGGATTTTTGGCGTTGTTTGCAGCAGTAGGAACAAGATGCTTATTCATGTGTGACAGAAAATTCAATCTTCCGACTTGTGAAATTATGGGTCAACTTTTGTTTAGGTTTTCCCCTGTTAACCAAAAGCGCAGCCTCTGTGTCGGATGCTCTAAAATTTTATATCCCCAATAAAGACAGAAAAACCCGGCCATACGGAATCTGTGGTGCTCCATTTCCGGCACACACTTGTTTGTCGTTCAACTGACCCCGAAACGGCATAATCTCGCGCTGTGATTGAAGAGGAATGGTGTTAGAATAAAAACGATCGGCCAACATACTATTCGTTAACTGTCGCTTTTCGAACACACTACTTCACACCGACTGTCCGAGTTGAGATTACTCTCATATAACCAGTGACGTGGACGACATATCATAGTCTACCTTTTGCGCAAAATGTCTTCAGTGATTTGGGTTTTCTATAGAGGAAAATGTTGGTAGGTCAATTAGCGTAGATGGTCGTTGGCTTGTTCGCTGAGCTGGGCAATTTGATTGCAATCAAATTGCCCAGCTCAGCGAACAAGCCAACTAGCATTGATTTAGGTGTTGAAACACACGATATTAATAAAACAGGCAGGTTTTGTTCTGTGGTTCTGACCCACACCCACTGGGAATCTTTGGAGGTAATAGCGAAATTACGCCTTTATTTGACCATAGAATATCCTACCAGTTCACCAGCTTTGTTCTTGGACAATGCATTCACGGGTTGCCTTTTGCGTGTCTCTGGTTACTTATTTAGCTGTACAACTGCTTGGGAATACCGTCCTCCAGTCATGTACAAGTTCGTGGTTGACTAGTTTTCTATCGTTGTTTTGTTTTGTTCCCATAACTGGTCATTGGATCTCTTCCCGTTTCTCTCTCTTAACAACAGGATCTCGACATACTTTCTTCTCATCCCAAGTTTTACGATTTGCGGATATCTATTCGTTCTCGTGTATCAACCTTATATACTACCCACTATGTTACATGTTTCGTGCTCCATCGATGCTGATGCCACATGAGTCCACCGTGTCCCACGAGGAGTCGCCATTGGATAGTTTCTACGACCTTGATAGCACTCCGTGTGGGCTCGCACGTCGCACAAAAAATCGTAAGCGGTCGTCTCATTTTTTATCCATACTTTAATTCACTCCACTCCCAAATCGCTAAGCTTGGACACTGCTTTTATACTGCTTGACACGCCTGACGTCGTTTGACGGGCAGAAACCTTTTCCTCGCCAAAGAATCACCCTTTTATACCGGTTTTTACAGCATTTTTCATGTGAAAAAAGAACAATAAAATTTTTCCATGACCAACGGGATGTAAAACTTATGGGTCAGACTGCAGGGAGGGGACTAGCAACCTCATAGTGGGTGGGACTTGCGTGGAAAACAATGTTTTCTTGAGGTGTCGTACCACTTAGTCGGAAGCACCATATATCTTCAGTTCTTGGTTGAAGATAACGGAACAGACGGAAGGTCGAGACATCATATGGTACGATCAGTTCAATGGGAATACGAAGAGATGTTAGGGTAGCGTATTTTGGGACCTGAAACAGGTGTTCCTCTGAAGTGGCACCGAAATGGCACAAACCACATCATTAGGCAACGATGAACAGACCTGAAGGCAAGACCATATTTGCGTCAATCTAACCTCAAGTGTTGATGAAGCAATTTCATTGGATGACATCTGAGAGGTGTTGTTTGGGCGTCTTGGATTTCGAAGTATCTTCAGAGAGGGAAAGCCATCAAAAACAAGCGAAACGATTGCAGACGTTATTATTATAGTTGGTTGGACAATATGTGCACAAGTTTGCGGCTGTGGTCTCTGAACCTGTGCATTGCATATCGGAAGATACTTTCCACATGATCTTTGTGGGATTTCAGACTGTCGATCCCTTTGTAGTGGATGCTTCGCTTTCGGGGTATGAATAACCCAAGTCTTCTTGAGGACTGTTATGGCCACACTCCACTGCTGTATTCTGTGACCCATGCCAGCAATGGACTCCAGCTAAAATTGCATGCACAGCAGTATTTGGTGATTCACGCCAAGCCTTTTAAAGGATTCAGACAGATCACATTTATGCCCTTTCCGAAATCAGTAACTCAGGTTCAAGTTTCCCTTGTGATTGGAATCTCTTCACGGTTCGAATCCGTGCTATCAAATGGAAACTGATTTTCTGCGGTAAACAAAAGTTGACTCGCAACCTGTGTTTTCATGACTTTGAAAATCTGTGGCAGTAAAGTGATGATTTCTTGGCTCTGAGTTCTATCATTAAACCAAACAATGAACAGGTGAATAATGAGATATCTCAACCTGAAATGTGGCGTTTGACGGTGCATTATTTTGAACGATATCGTCCACTTCAGGAGAACCATTTTTCGTCAGGACTGCAGGCTAATAGCTACACTTTAGGAGGGCAACGTCTCACCAACGTCTGGTGAAGTATGGTATTTAAAGTGCTTGCATAATGGTTCCGAAACGCTTCTTTTGAGGTCAAAGGGACTTTGTAGTAACGGTATTCCAAATTTTAATTCCCTGAGCTTATGGATGCAAGTCTCCGGGTTCTTGTTTGCACGGAGCACAAATCGAAAAATTAAATTGTTCAGCTGTAACGCCCTTTCGGTGACTAGCTGCCATACCACCCGAAGGAAGCAGGATGGATGAGATACTGCCACGTTGTCCAAGCCTAGACAGAAGTCGAGAGGCAGAGGTCGGGCTCTAACCACGCACTTTCCGGTCAGTAAATTCGCGCTCTAAACATTGAGCATCTCGCTCGGAGCACAAATTTCGGTTGCAGAATAATGCTACGTCCGGTACGAATTTTCACAAATGTTCCTCATCGCACCATCCTGCCCGATGGTTTTCAGAAGTCGGAAAGATTGACATTTTCGTCTCATGCGGAGCGAAGCGTTTTGATTTTATTTAGGGTTATATCAATTTCGGTAACCGGTTGCGAAAGTACTCCCACGCAAAGTCGGTGGAAGAAGGGTGACCGGTCGTCCGGCCATTAAATAGTACAAGACGTTTTAATTTATGCGTGTTCACCATAAGTCTCGAGGGCTTCTGGATGAAATTTCCACCCGAACAAACATTATCACATCGACGTCATATTTGTTCGTCAAGCCCTGGTGGGTGAACCGTAGTCCCCCCCCCCCCCAACTACCGGTTCTCCATTCGTCTGTATGATGTCTGAAATGGGAGGCTGCCGTCACCAGGAAAACACGTTTTTTCGGTTATCGAAAAGATTATTATAGCAAAAAGGCATCCCAAGTCAAGGTACTTAAGTTTTACCCTAAGCAGAGTTGTCAGTTATCATGGTATTAATAAGGGATTAACCTGTTTCAGACGTAAATCTGTTGGCCGAGAGATAACGACTACTCTGTCAGCGTTGTCCTTACTGAGTTGTAGACGGCAGCAGAGCGTTTTGTTTGGGTTATCGTTTCACAAGCTGGTCCACATCTGCAGCGTGCTTTAACACATTCGTGGGTGTGTAGATCGTGAAACCGAATGAATGTTTGTACCGACCATCACCTTCCTTGTTTCCAATTTCTACTACAGCTTCAAAACTTCATCTGCCAGCGGAAGATGTAACTGCGTTGAGAGGTCTTCCCCAGGAGGACGGAATGTCCACGTCATCCGATGGCAAATCGGATGAAGATCCAACCGGACCGAGCCATTTAAATTTCTAGGCCGGGCCTGTGGGAGTTAGTTTCAGTTTTCAACAAATCGGGTAACTTTCCTGAGTTCACCTTCACTTCTTTTATTTGCGTTGAAATGTTGGGAACTTGTCCACGGATGCACTCGTGTTTGGACAGAGCAACTTTTTGTCGATCAGTATTCTTTACACAGGAATTGTTATGAAATATTGTGGACATACTGTGTAGCTCGGCGGTTTCGGGGATTCTGTGAAACTATGGATAATCTGAATAACTTGATCAGGGTAGGCCTTGTTGAAAGAACGGAAAATGAATTCGTAGACTTATTATACACATCCCAAAATGATGACCTAATGGGTTTCAATCAATGACATCCAATCCAATCACTCCATCTGAACCGTCATGTGACTTCGTCCTCTCACTGACAAACCTATTAAATGTTGTGATTTTCTCCAGAGTGCCGACGCTGACCAGGTTCATTACACGTACATCTAAAAGACAACCGCATAAGAAAATATCTGTCCATTCTGACTTAAAGAGGTTTTGGAGCTAATCAAGTCGAGATTTTTGGAATATGTATCGTAGGTGGCACGTTCTCTACTTTATGGGTCGGCCAGGTAACCCGGGTTTTATGTACCCGAATTATAAAGCTCTCGGACTGAGATCTTCAATTCAGATTGTCTTCCGCTGGTGTGAGATGCCTTAGCAACATGTACAGGGACCCGTGCAACGAAATGCTATGATTGCAAAACGGAGATGGAATTCTGTTCGGAAACCCAAGTTCCGTATTGTCTCGCTCTGTGTTGCTTGAGTACTTTCTTAATTCGTGAACACTTGTCTTCTCAAACAACTCGGTGTGGACTGGCGTACTACTTCTACTACTACTACACTTGACATTTGGGCACAAAGCACGTCACAGAACTTTCAAATCCTTTATTGATTTCCACAGTCCTCTTGCAGCCAGCCGAAGGATGTTCATTGAGTGTGCTTCGATTGGAATCATAATTGTAGCATATTCTGTAGCGTTTTGTTGAAAGATGTGAGGTGAGGCCCATTCTCAAGCATTGTTAAGGGCCATGCCTTGATTGCACCCCGTTTTTTCTTCAGTTTAGATTATTAACGCCTGCTTTTTACGTTGGTGCCAAACCGTGATAAACCAAACACAGACATCAATCCGAACAGTCGGGCCGCCATGCACCAGTCATCCGCATTTTATCTTCCAATTGAGCACTGACCCGAAAAAAACGGAACAACTTAGTCCTTCCCAGTTGAATAACTCGACGACTTCCTCCAGTTCCTCCAAGAAATCATACTGCTGATTTGTTTATTTTATTTTGCTACTTTTCAAAGTTGCTGTGGCCGACTTCTACTACGATTACTATCCTTATTACTAACTTTACCATACTCCTCTATCACTTGTTCGCCGATGGAACTTCGCTTCTACCAGGCAGTGCATATGTTAGAAGCAACTTGGGCGGCTATTCTAGCCACCTTTGTCGTTGTGTTCCAATCCACTCATTTGCCTTCCTCCATTTTTGTTGATTCCGTCCTTCTTTTCCAACTTTTTCACGTTCGTCACTAAAGTCACTTCAAACCGGTTTCCATTTTGCCTTGTCGACAGAATCAAACCAGGGACTCTATCTTGGTTGTTCTACTTGGAACGTATATATTCGTGAATATATGGTACAGATTTCTTTCAGCATGATTCTTTCTTTACCCGGTTCATCCGAGTGTATCGGTTATTCCCCCAGTTATTTTTGCATTTTTCTGGTAGCGCGAGGGTTTCCATCAACTACTCCAGTCGTCCACTTTCTCTCTCTCTCTCTCTCTAATAACCATTTTATTTTTGCATTTTTCTGGTAGCGCGAGGGTTTCCATCAACTACTCCAGTCGTCCACTTTCTCTCTCTCTCTCTCTCTAAATAACCATTTGCTTCTTTCTCCGGTTTCTGTGTAATATCTGGAAAGACAGATCCAATCACCGTGCAAAGTGCAATTTGTTTCCCACTGTGCACTGCTGTCTACTGATTTTTGGAATACACGGACGTTTGTTTCCTCATTGGTCTGGTTTCTGCATGTCTTGAAGACGCGACCATGCTTGTTATTAGTTATCCTGTGCGCGAAACAGGATTATTGATTGTTTTGTATCACAAACCGTCACACTTCACTACTCAGTTCTGATCTAACGAACACAGATGAGATTTCAGACACAAGCAGGTAGACCTTTTGCTGTCAATAACCGTGGAAGTGGAGTTTCAATATACTACGCAGACGGTTTCACACAAAGGTAATTCATTCTAGCAGTCAAATCGAAAGGGATAACAACGGGGGCTGCGCAATGGAGAATTGCCTAACTGCCAACTGAAATTCCAGTAGATATTGTAGAAAAGCAACGTTCTTCTGTCCTTTGATGCTGGTGGGTTCATAAGGTAAAGGCCAGTATAATGAGCACATGGTATGATCAGCGATGTGAGGTACAGACTAAGACATTTTGGTAATTTCCCACATTCCATTCTTCATGGCTGACAGGTAGGCTGGGACTGTTTTTTACGATGACAGCCAGGGTTATGCAGTGTAAACGAAGTGAAGCCTCTTGGGCGGAATCAAATCGGTAACCTGCTGTTTTGACTCCTTAATTTCCTTTGGCTGAAGTTCATCAGAGGTGGCAACTCTCATACGCATGGTGGGATCAGCTCTGTTGAGGGTTTTTCTTGCATTTTCTAAGCTTATATCCAAGTTCAGTTTGACTGTGTGACAGACAGTGAGTACATTGCTGTTTATTTGTATAAAGCATGAAATGTAGGGCAACTAGTTGTAAGGGTTGCGAAGCATTTTCTACTTATGTGAGATTTCGTTCTGCCTTGAAGTCAGTTCATGCTAAAAAGCAGAGAAAAACCCTACATCTGTTTCATCCTTATGGAAAATCTCCAACAGTCAGCTCACTTGGAAAAGACATAACCGCTCATTCTTGAACCACAGAAACCCCATCACGTGGTCACGTATTGACAGGCTGCTCGGGTGACGGCGTGTCAGATGGAAGTTCCACTAATCACGTGAAGTTATTCTTCCTCTAAGTCACATATAGATTGATGTTCCTGTGAGGGGATTTCGTAATTTTCAATCCAGATTTCCTATTATCATGTGGAAGTTCTTACTCAATTAGCCAGTCGATACGAGACCATGTGATTTGGTTTATGTGACTGAAGAATCAGAGGCACTATGTCCTGTCTGAGAGTTATATCACACTGCTGTTGAGTCGCCCGTAGCCGAACGCTTAAGTGTTCTACGATAAGGTTGTGGTTTGGGTACTCTCGGAGTTTTGTGAGATGAATACTGCTAAGAATTCTTAATAGGGATAAAACAGCTGGGTAGTGCTTCTTGGCTTTTCAACACAGATTCATCTCACTAATTGGTGGAAATCTCGATTGAAAATTAATGGAGTTCACATTAACAACAATTGTTACCTAACCACCTGGAAGCATACAGCAATAGCCGTCATTTTGGGAAATGAGAATTGGGACTGTCTTATAAACTAATTTGTAATGTATCGGCACGGATCCTTGAGAAGACTCTCACTCATTACTAGAAAGCAGTTTGGAAGTCTTTCATATAGCGCCACACCGAAATAGAAATAAGTTTTTTGCCATGAAGTATTGGAGGATTCTTGTAGTCAGATTCTCGAGGATCGGTGACCAGAGAAAAGAGAATGAAGGCAGTCGATTCGTCACAAACTAATGACTTCTAGCTAATTGAAAAGAGTTGTGCTGATTAGCAAGTACTATGACTCCCGATTCAGTCGCCAGCTATTTAATTATCAGCAAAATAAGGTGACTCTTCCAGAGGGTGACCAACAAATTTATCACACATCTCTGCCGTTAGACTTGGGGCTTTGAAGTAACCCTATATCATCCTACCTAGTTTATTCAGGTTGTTTTAGTGCACCTTTCTGGAGACTGAAGAGTTGATTTTGTTTGGGGAAGTATTAAGTAATTACAGGTGACGAAACAACTTTTGGCGACATTTTAGCACACCTCCAACAATTTTTCGAAACCAGTTTCATGTTTCACAATTAAGCCCATCAGCAAATAGACATTAGGACGGTTATTCACGCGAATGGTGTATGGAAAACTGTTTTGGATTCTTTGAACTGACTAAGCCGTTGGTATAAAAATGATACATGAATGTGAACAAATCTTTTTCCTTTGCAAAGTCTCGTCAGTTTTATCTGTGTTAAATATCGTTTGCATCATTTAAATCTTCATAAGCGAAGACTGAGATGACACCCTTTACCTCAACGGCATCCACTCAGTGTTTCCAACACTAGAAACCCAGGGACAGTTGTAACACTGTTACCCGTGTTGAATGCGCAGCATCGGAACGTACACTTTTGTTTTGCGTTTTGAGTGGTCATGAACGTATTAACTATTTCTCCAGGTCACAGTATGCTGTTGTTTTGCTGGTATAGATCAGTCATTAAGACAGCGTTTGTTTTACACAATCTGCAGCCAACTCACTGCTTTTCCAGACAACGAAAATGATATGCAATACTAGCCCAGTCCAGTCAGAACTAGGGAGGCTCTTATATTACTTTGCCTTTTTTCCATAGTTAAGTCAGGAGGTCTTTCAACATAAATCCCAACACATCACATGGAGGATGCTTAATTTTGTAACACCGACGAGTATTTAAGCAGAATAAATAATACATGTGTTATATCTGCTGATTCGCCGGCCGGTGCTATCTGCTGCTGACCCGCTCCAGTGCCTAGTGTCGGAGAGAAAAGGCTCACGGAAGGGAACACATTACACTGTTTTGGATTCTTTGAACTGACTAAGCCGTTGGTATAAAAATGATACATGAATGTGAACAAATCTTTTTCCTTTGCAAAGTCTCGTCAGTTTTATCTGTGTTAAATATCGTTTGCATCATTTAAATCTTCATAAGCGAAGACTGAGATGACACCCTTTACCTCAACGGCATCCACTCAGTGTTTCCAACACTAGAAACCCAGGGACAGTTGTAACACTGTTACCCGTGTTGAATGCGCAGCATCGGAACGTACACTTTTGTTTTGCGTTTTGAGTGGTCATGAACGTATTAACTATTTCTCCAGGTCACAGTATGCTGTTGTTTTGCTGGTATAGATCAGTCATTAAGACAGCGTTTGTTTTACACAATCTGCAGCCAACTCACTGCTTTTCCAGACAACGAAAATGATATGCAATACTAGCCCAGTCCAGTCAGAACTAGGGAGGCTCTTATATTACTTTGCCTTTTTTCCATAGTTAAGTCAGGAGGTCTTTCAACATAAATCCCAACACATCACATGGAGGATGCTTAATTTTGTAACACCGACGAGTATTTAAGCAGAATAAATAATACATGTGTTATATCTGCTGATTCGCCGGCCGGTGCTATCTGCTGCTGACCCGCTCCAGTGCCTAGTGTCGGAGAGAAAAGGCTCACGGAAGGGAACACATTACCTATATTCCAAAAAAGTGATTGCGGGAGCGCGAGTGCGTGCGAGTGCGAAAAGCACAACGGCCTCAAGCTTTTTATTGGAAGGACACTGTCTGAACCCACGCGGTCTGGCTTTAGTACGAGGCAGCGACGTGCTGCATATCGCGGGGGCGTTGTCTGACCTTGATCAACGCTGACTCGCGCTGTCTGGGTTTGATACAAGGCTGTGACGCGCTGCATATTGAGGGGGCGTTGTCTCTCTGGTCAACATCTAGCGGAGCTAAGAGTCTCCGTAGCTTCCGGGCATTCAGTGGTTGCTTTCAGGAAGCTGACCATCCTGATAACATGGCTCTTCAATTTTAACCTATGGCAAGCGCTTTATAACTGCAAGGAGAAACTCGCTCATGAGCTCGTTCACATCGGTCATCTACAAGCATCATCCAGCATTCCCATCGGTCACCTCAACTCAGAGGGGCTTTGATGGCCCCTAACTTTATCGTGGCGAATAAAGACTTGTTTGAAAACTGGATGTGTGCGAAACTTATGCGATTCAGAGAAGACTAAACGTTATGAGCATTTTGCGTCAGTAAACTTTCTGCGTGTGTTATCTTGTCGTTAATACTGAAGGAACGGATACTTTTAAGTCCACCGATCTGGCTCTCATTCATACTGAGGCTGGTAGCATACAGAAATGCTGCTTGAAGATGTTTGCGAGTCCGCCTGACAATAGAACAGAGATGTCAGACACGCGTCAAGCACATTTCCCTTGCAGTTGAACAAGTATGACACTGGTTGATTAGTTCAAATTGGCTGCATGTCATATCAAACTGGCCTATCGCGTGAAAAGCTGGTTTGAATTATGGAGACGAATGGTTAATTTAACAGACTAGACATTACTAAGATGAGCGTGCACGTTGGACGAGGAAGACAAATTTCATATCGAAATGTGTTAATACTTTGATGCCGATGAACTGCTGGATCCATAGCGCAAGCACTTCGACAAAAACGGCTGTGACATTCAGTCAATATCACATTATAGCCTGCACTTGATATAGACGTGGAAACTCTGCTTCAGGTACCTGTCAGCCTATTGCTTAGGAAAAGCTATCAGATAGGATGCGTGTATCCAACGTGTTGAATCCGTTTTTTCTATTTATTGGAAAACTTAGATTGTTCTGACAATCCATGGAAGAGATAATTTACCTTTGTAGGCTATCGTTTCCGCCCAAGTTCCATCATACCGCCGAAAAATATTTCAACCAACAAAGAACTTTGTTCGTCGTTCCTACGAGTTCAGCGATTTTGTTGGTGCATTTTAGGTAGCCAATTGCTTACAGTGAAGGCTCACGTGTAAGCGAGTCGGAATCTGTTGTTTTAAGCGAAATTATTTAATCTTTCCACTGTTCACAATGACAGATATATCGAAGTTCGGCAAGCGGTTTGACAGCATTGCGAGCAACATCTTTTTCCCCAACGTTTATTCGGATTGGGCAGTAGAAGTGGTTTTATGATAATTCCAATTGTTGACCTACTTCGGACTCTCTGAAGCAAAGTGTAAGCTGATGGGTCTTTGAAAAATCAAAACTCAAATGGTTGAGGGCATTGACAAACGCGGATACGATTCAAACCACATTCAGGTCACTGTGCACGAAGGTCATTGCAAGTGAAGCGTCCAGTGCATTTCGTTGTTGAATGCAATCTAACGTTTACAAACGTTTCGTGCACAAAAAAGTAGCGCTGTTGTCTGAAAATGTTTATCGTATTTTGTTATGATCATTTTATAGCACTCAGGGTGCCCATTTATCCATACCCGTCCAAGGAAGGCAAAGTATCGGTTTCGCGTTATTTATTTCATGTAAATTCGAGGATGAATGGTGCCGCTGGACATACAGCAGATATTTTTACCAGAAAGAAGAAGTTATTTTGCTGTCACTCAAAGGCGGGAAACTCTACAAAACTGGCAGTGGTGTGTGTGGCCTAAGTCGGGCACATTTTGACATTGATTACATTCCTGACAGTGAACAATCAACCGCAAAAACTTGAGATGTGCTTGTGATTTTTGCGCTAGTTTTTCACCATCCCATGATTGTCCAAACGTCCGAAAATATTTCCGATGATTTCGTCAGATAGGGGACAACGAATAATATTTCAGGTTAGTATAGGTGAAGTAGACATTCTCGAGGCTATCACATGACGATTGTGCGCTGCATGAGTACTGTTCAATCAGGTGTTCACTGATTTATTTTGGAATGATTGTCAACCCGAATACCTTGACACTACCATGAGGATAAAGCTGCTAGAAAAATACTAATACAATAGTTTCTTCAACGAAGGAATGCATAATGAGAGGTTGTCCTGATAGTAGGAATTCAACTGTAATTGCATGTGATTTTTTATTCTGTTTCCTTACTTCTCCATCCGCACCACAGTGGAATACTACTCTCTTAGTGCGCCCATTGAAGGTGAATCTTGGGGCTATTTATTCCACCCTAGATGATAATGCACAGGGTGTGTTGGTTGTGCTCAAATGTAATGGGTTTTGTAACATGTCCGTTACTAAACCTAAACCTAAACCTAAACTAAACAGTTGGACTGAGCCCAACTGTCAGGCCTCAAGAAGGACGGAAGCTATGGAGGGCTGTTTGGGGTGCTCATCGACCGTGTAAATAGGATCATGTGAAGGGTGAGGTTGGTTTATTTTTTAGTTCGGTTGGGATGGGTATGGGCTGTCCAGTGTTTGTAGTAGGCTATAATGAGTACACTTTTTAGTGCACTGCTGTTGATGGCCATAACACAAATCAGGTGATGCACTAATAAAAGTTTTTAGCATGGTTGACAGTGGTGGGTTGCAACACGTATAAAAATAAATACAATGTGAAAATGGGAGCAAGTCAAAAAAGGAACTTATCTTCTGTGAGAGTTCTTTGGTGAAAGTCCGGACGGCGGGAACGTGTTTTTTCCGCAGTGCGACTGCAACACGTGTTCCACAATTGTCCGTAGACTGTGTAGAGTGGCTGACTTCCTGCTCCCTGCACGCGCGCGAGTCTGTGTCAACTGTGTCCGGTTTCCATATATGCAGGTCCGCCTGCGTGTACGTGGGTGTGTTAGCACATGAGTTGTTGCTACGTTCACCAGACGGTACCGACAATCGATGTCCGATGAGTCACCCTAAAGGACGTGGTTTTGCGAGCATGAAAAAAAAGACAAACCTCGTGATCCAGTGAGCGACTGTGAGCTGAACGGTCAGGTATGTGAATGACTGGGTGGCTACACACTCCATCAGTGTTTTGACATCTGACTCGTTAGCTTGACATAACCCACCATTATGAATCGGTTGCCTGGTTGCCCTCAGCGCCACAAGAACAATAATTACTGACAAAGTCAGCACCGCGATTCACTCGTGCCAGGAACTACGGGACACAGCAGGTGTCTGGTGGCCTGACGAATATGTACCGACTGATGGGGTAGCGCTAGCAAAACCAAAACAGATGCACCCGCACAAACAAATAGTCAGTCATTTACTGCGTCACGCCATGACCTTTCCAGGGTGTTGCAGAATTGTAATTTTGTGTTCCAAAACTTCAATACCTGGAATACAGACAAGAACCACTGGCAGATGCAAGCTTGTTGTGTTCGTCGGTTTCATAAAACCGACATACTCGAGTCCTACCCTCATTTGATGTGTAGGGGATTGTCCAAGCTCTATAATTATGCCAAATCATGCTTCCTCGGCCCAGACTTGAGTATCTGGTGCACTTGATTCCTCGTGGACGGTTCCTTTTAACGTGCTTTTAGTATGAACAATCAGTCTGCTCATAAATAGTTAGTTTACTTATGCTAACCAATCATTTATTCTTACAAAAGACCTGATGATTATTAGATGGGAGGTTCATTCACCCGAGTAAGTCTTTTAGTTTCCGTGCTTTAAAAATGATGTTCGACCAACAGAGCAGGAAATTCGAGTGCTGGTCCCAAACTCATACTTAATTGCTAGGGAATACATCTTTCTTTGCAATGCCCTTGACTAGAATTTCATTTATACTGTAGTCTAACTTCCTAAGAATGCTTGTATTAGTGAAGGTCCTTTTCAGACCAGTAGCTGGTAAATAAAGATAAGCGGAAAATTAGGCAACCAAGTGGGAGTTACATCCATGAGGCATGGTGGTTCGTATATCAATCATCGCTCTGGCTGAGAAAATGTGAGGTAGTCTGTAAGATCCAAGAAATACCGGACTAACTTGTGTCAGAAAATAATTTGTTTTTTTATGCAGTATGAGCGAATGCGTTCAAAGTAACTAGAAGTGCACTGATGTGTTAACAAACTGAAATTCTCACAGCAATAATGTAAACAAACGAGTAAATCGCGAATGCGAACAGTAGAGTTTCTGTTTCACTGTTTCCAGCATAAGCTCACTGAAACGCACAGAAACTTAATTGCTTTTAAGAACATTTTAAATCGGATACTGATTGGAACAGATACGGCCAGGCAAAATTTCTCATGCAAGCTTGCAGACGTCTGGTGAAACGATTCATTCTCTGCGGTTTGAATTCAGGGCGCACACGGTCATTCTAAACAGAAAAAACCGAAATTCGATAACGTGGACTGACGAGGGTTGGAACCAGCGCAACAAAGTCAGACTCAACGGCGCGCAAATCATCGCTGATTGCGCACGTATACATGTTTGGTCCTTGGATGTAAGTTGGAAGGATGCAAGTTGTAAAACGTGGATTATTATCAACAGTTCGGCTGGCCTTTGTGTGAAAATTGTCTGTCAGTGCGACGTGCTGCAAACGAGACAAGTAGGATGTCATTTCAATTTATCTGCCCTCTTCGGACATTCATTTCTCTGTTAGCATTGTTATCTCTGTTTTTTTTTAATAATTACATATTAAGATATCTAAGTTGATAGGGTCATGAATTTTACCAGGTATGCTTGAGGCATTTGGAGGCCGTCACACAAGACACTGACGGTTGGTACTCGCTTGTTGAGCACTGAACTGTATCTCTCTCGCATTACTCAAAATGTCTTTGGAGAGCACAAGATTGATTTGTACTACACACTGCAGACGAGTTGTTTGCAACATGCTGTGCAACAAGCTTCGTGAAATGAGGTCTTACAAGGCTTCCGTCAACACAGTGAATCCGCTAGATTATCACACTGATTACATTAAGCTACCAACACTATGTTTACAGTTTCCAAACAGACCTGTTTGGACAACGTTTACTGCATTCGTAACCAAAATAAACAATTGAGATTGTACTATAAAAACTGAATCCAAATACGTAGTGCGTAAGCTAGATTGGATAGCCATACATCTCGAGAATTGAGTGAAAATGACTACGTAGGTGATTATTGACTATTACGAACAATACACAACGTTAAATAAACTCCACGATATGTCTGTGCAGCAATCACACTCCTCAGGATAAATTTGAGGAGCAAAAGAAAGCTGCATGAAACAAACCAACGTTGGAACTCACATGAGGACAGTATAATGAGATGACCAGAAACTGATCTTGTCTCCTAGTCTTCTAGTGTCATTTTATTTACCTGAGGCGGTCCCGTTTTGATTTGCGAGAGTTGTCCTAGTGGGCTTTCGGACCGCTGTGGGCGTTTTTAATCAAGTCTATTCCATTGTCGCTTCACTGCGGCTGTCATTAGGTGTGATGAACACCCGATTGTAGTGTGACAGATAAAGTCAATGCACGAATCTGCAAGGCTCAGGTCGCGTTTGCTAATTTGAGACACCCATGGCACCAAAGTGGTGTCTCAAGGGACGTGTGTATCAAGGTACAGTGTGAGCTGTTTTGTTGTATGGCTGTGGGACTTGGCCTGTTCGAGCAGCGGAACTGAGACGTCTTCAGGTGTTCGACAATAGTTGCCTCAGAAGCATAGTTCGTGAGGGTTGTTGTCGGCGAATCGTTAACGAGGTAATTAGAAAGCGAGTTTTCGGTTGTGCAGCAGGAAATTCCATTGGAAAATGTTTCCAGCACCAGAAGCTGCGTTGATCGTGACATACGTTGCGTGTGCCTAACCATCGTTTGTCGAAGAGAGTGCTGTTTTCCACGCCCAACTCAGTGGCGTAAACAAAGAGGTGGCCAACCCTTGGCCTTGAAGAGGTTTATGAAGGAGGTTACGAAAAGTTTGGGTGCTGTCGGTTCTACTCGCCTTCAAGGATGGGACCGCGTGATCCTCACTACTCCTGGTCGGAGACGCTGCAAGATATGGCTGCTAACCGATGTCACTGGCTAGCACTAAATCCCTTCCGCGTGCACCTTCATTCTTTTCTTCACAATAAGGCTTTCCAACGAATCATAGTTGTACGACATCGAAGCATCGGTGTTGAACACTGGTGTCATGCTGTGGATGATGATGATGATGTGATTACCGCAGAACTATTAAAACTTCGAATGATTTGGCAGCCAACTTTGAAAACGTGCGGCATTTGCTTTGGCACTGAAGTTGTACTTTCGGTTAACTTGCGGAGCCTATTTATCTAAACATGCCGGAAACGTGCTTTGAAATACGGAGGCTGTCCCGTACTTGTTTTTGGCACAGATATACTGAGCCTTTAGATCATGACCTTTACCTCTACAGTGCGAAATTGAATCCATTTATTTTTAGGTAAAATTATACACTTTCAACTATGCCCGGACAGCTGTATCTGTATTTGTGGGACGGAAGCCGTGTGTATCGGTAATTCACTGTGACATATCTTGTGACATTCAAAAGCAACGACATTATTTTTCATTCATACAGCCATTTCTCTGAATTACGCGCGCATTAGTTACGGGCACAATTTTATTCACATTTAACAAGGTGCCACATATCTGGTTTATTGAGAAATCTTCTGAGCAGTGCAGCTGTATACCAGGAGAGCACCTCGATTTTTAACAGAGTTCAGCTTCGTTTGCGCCGTAAATTCTAGAGATATCTCTGAGCCAATTGTCATTTACTAGTCGGTGCATTAATTTTGGTGTCTGTTGGGCGCGGGGAATGAGCAACCCAAAACCTCTTTCTGTAATTTGAATTGCACCTGGTAAGCAAGCTGGAATTTAATTGATTTCCCACAATTGGTTTTGTTGCCTATTTGGAAAATAGCACAACAGCACAGTTATGCTTAACTGAGAACTACAGCTGGAATGAGGAAAAATACTAAACGAAAGCACTTTTATCAGTGACGTACCAATCTCAACTCAGTTTCCGTCTGTATTTATCCCTGTTGAGTGCTTGATACAAACTACACGCGTATCCTAGTAGGTTAGGCTTCAATGATAGGTAACCTGCTGTGATGCGAATCCAAATGTGATAACTTCTTTAACCTCGGTAATGCCAGACTGAAATGCAATTCACATCACTTCTCATCGGGCGAAAAATATTAGAAGTAGTACTTTGTTTCTGCATTTTAGAAATGCCGTCAGTAGGGTTACATTTACTGGTCTCTTTGCTTGACTCTGAGGTTCAGTGGATTGTTTTTGAGCTATTTGACAGTTTAGCATAGAACGATGGCTATTTGGTGTATCCCAATGGAGATTTCATGCCAATCTATGCTGAAAAACCGAGAAGCATGTGTAGCTGTTTCATCTCTTTTGTGAATTACAAGCAGCGCGCAAGTCACAAAACTCAGAATTTTCAGCATCTTGACGCCTTTTGAATAAGCATGTAAATGAACGCTATGATGACGAAGCACGCTGCCTGCTTAGGGTTATTAGCCTCGTGGGACGGTCCCCTACCATGACTACGGAAGTCAGTTGTCCGTCTGTTTGCAGAAGTGACATCTTAATGATATTACCACAGACATGCCTTTTGTCTGAGATGTCGAACGAATTTCCGCAAGGTCTGAAAAGACTTATTTTCTCGGCGCACTTAATATACTCAGTACAACCACACTGGTTGGTTATGATCTAAGCTTTGAATTCCCTGTTACTACTCGCATTTCTCTCGTCTAAGCAGATATCAAACTATTCGGATGAGAGTGACCTGGAGTCAAGCTTCATATATCCCACACCCAAATAGAGCTAATCGAAAATTGTCCAGATGTTTTTAAGCGTCTTTAACCTCATCTCACTGGGACGTCCTGACGAGGGGAGGGGGCGGTGCATCAGTATAACCATGATTGTTGGCAAACCAATAGAGCACGCGCACGTTCTCCCGTTCACTCGTGATAATTTGGTTTCATCCATCACGCGTCGGTTGATTAATGGTAATGCGCTCACCTAGCATGCCAAATTTCCTGAGCTGGACCCCCAGCAAAGGGTATAATATAATAAGCGTGAAACTGGAGTCTAATGCTTCCCCTCTTTGGTATTGGCTCGTCAGTATAATTACAAAGATATTGCAAAGGATATTGACGTGAGTGAAAATTCTCCAGACCCCGCAACCAGCTTCAATCAAAACCTTACTAGTTCATCATTTAGCTTGAAGATCTCTGACGAGACAAAAAGCGAAAGCCAGTCTTTGTTAGACTTGACATCTTTGGGCAACTTGGTATGACTGATAAGTATTTTTGTACATAAGGTTTTGGATTCAAATAAATCCTTCAGCAGCGAGTCAGTGCAGATTTAAAAAAAAAATAATCCTTGGACTAAATCATACACATTGTGTCAATTAGTGTATCCCGCTTCAATAGGGATACCGCGCTGGTTCATACGCTCGACATTCTTACATATTATATGAATATAGAGGCGCCAAGAACACAAGCAGTATTCACAATGCATGCTGTCATGTATGTATGTGTAGAATTATTCGGATGCGATTTGATGAACCTTTGTGTGTTTTCCGTAGTGTTCTAAACGATGAGTCGTTTGGTATGAGATAATATAACCTTTTGTACTAACAAGTTGAACAACCACTCTGAAAGTCATGTGATTCTCCCGTTAACATTCTAAGTTTCCACACTGAACAACCAATGATTCGTTATTTTCTGTTGACAATACGTCCATTCCAATAACAGCGCAACACGTGATTCTTTCACAAAATTAGCCTTCAACCGTTTGGTTTGTAAAGTGCAACAAGGGGCCGTCATGTGGCAAAGTGATCGTTATTCGTCTGAAATCAGGACATTTGGTAGGTTGCAACCGTGTGCATTTTGAGAAGTGCATCTAACCAGTTCCTTGTAGTGGAGGACTAGTATAAACTGCTGCTAGCGATGCTTGGTTGTGAGGATGATTTTTCCCGCAAGTATGACGAGACCTTGAGCCTTATTTGACGTGATGGTTAAATACAAACTTGTGTTGGGTGCAGTGCAACGCAAACGAATATTTTCAGTATGGTCTCCAGTGAGATGCGGTTTATCCTAGGACACACATGTGATCAGGTGTTTTTGTAATCCAGGGAATACTATTGTTTAAGTAAATTCGCAGACCGAATCTAAAAGCGTTCCTTCAAGTATAAACTAGTACTTGTTGACTTGTTGACTAGCACTTGTTGACCAAGTGTAAGTCACGTTGAATAGATTTGAGTTTTTATCTAGTGCATAGGATTTCGGATTTTACGGACTGTTGTACTTGTCGTAAACTAAATGGTCCCGAGAACTCCATCTGTGGAGGACAAAAGACGATCCACTCATCAAGGGCTGTTTATCACAATTTTCCAACGATACTGCATTCCCCCCACAACTGGACAGTTCGCCTAAACTCCCGGTGCCTAATCAAGTGATTAGCCTTAAGAACCACCCATATGTGACAACATTAC